TAAAATCGATCAAACCGACTAACCAAATCTTTTTATGTATATATAAAATAAAATTTGACTGAATTTGAAAATTTTAATAAAAAATAAAAAGATTATAAGGTAAGAGCATTAAAATTTGGTTAAAAATAGGAAATTTTTCAAACAATTATTGTAACAGTGCAACTCGTGCAAAAAATTAAATATAAGACTTTAAAATTTACTAAATTACATCGGTATATATAAATTATCATTGTCCATCACTATTTACAAAGGGCAACTTGTGCAAAAAATTAAATATGAGACTTTAAAATTTACTAAATTATATCACTATTTATAAAATATAAGATATTCGACTTTTTGAACTAATAAAGAATATATAGTTTATATTATAAATTAATACTTACTTAAAAATCATGCCTGATTCTCATGAACCGCATTTTTATGGAAATAGTTTTAAACAACGACTTTTTGAAAAGGTCGGCCAAAAAACAATATCTTTTCTTACCTTTTTTTTTTCCTTCCTGTTTTATGTATTGCAGCCATTGCTACTTTCATGCTTTTGAAAAGAAAAAAAAATTATTTCAAAAAAAACCTAAAATTGAAATTTTTATCCCCTATTGAAGGTATGCATTTTTTTTCCCCTTTTTTTAAAAAAACTTAAACAAATAGATGCAGATTTCAGTTGTTATTATTATGGAAAATCATTGTGTAAATGAAATGCTATTTATAGCAAATCATTTTGTAAAGTAAATCATTGTGTAAAAAAAATCATATCCATGGAGATTTATGTGATTATTTGTGATAATTATTTTTATGAAAATACTATTTATGGTACAAACTAGAGCTCAAAACATAGTCCTTTACTAATGAATGAGAAGCAGAGACTGTAACTACACTACCAAGTAATCCATATTTTGTTTTTGATTATGTGATAACAAAAATAAACAATATAGTGTAAACTGTAAACTTACAGGAGCAAGCAATTGTACAGGATTAGTTCCCCAAACCTAATCCTTCAACTCTGCTTGTTGTTTCCTCAAGAAAATGAAAAACCCTCTTTCTTTTCTCTCTTTAAAAATCAGTTAGGGATTTTTCACAAATCAGTATAGTTAGGGCTTTTTCTCAAACAACATCCCAAATCAGAGAGAAAAACATTCTTCAAACAATCCCAAATCAGCATCCCATCTTCTTTTTTCCCTTTAAAAATCAGTTAGGGCCTCCTCCATTAGAGTTTGTGAAACCGATGACCTCTTCTTTCTTCCTTCTTCTCTCTATAAACCCTAATGGCTATGAGCCCAGTCCTATTTTCTTCTCTTCCTACTTCTTTCCTCTCTCTCTAAACCATAAACACAGAGATGTGAAATCCAAATTTTCTATGAGCCGCTTTTCAATTTAAAAAATTTATAAAACTTTAACCATAGCTATGGAGTGACCATAGTCACCATACCATAGTTAAATCATTGTAATGACAAAACAAAAATCGTGTATTTTTTTTGGTACCTGCTAAATAGGTGTGATGTTTAAGTATTTAATGAATAAATTTATATAGTATATTTGTCACCATACTATAGTTAAAGTATTTAATGAATAAATTTATATAATATATTTGTTTATGGTATGTAATAAGTAGGTGTGATGTTTCTTAAAGTATTTAATGGGTAGATTTAAATGGTATATTTTTTTTGGTATATACTAGTTAATTATGTATTTAATATTGGATGATTGGATGAGAGTCACAGGGCAACTAAATTAATTGACTTAATTATATTAGTTTAGTAAAGTTTTTATGGATAAATTAGTTATTGCTGGCCTTGAATAATTTTTAATTTTAAAATTTTAAAATTTCTAAATTTCTAATATTATAAATTTATCCGATTTTTTTGGCCTAATCCGATATATTAGAGATATCCTTATATGAAGTATTTTTGCCGATCCGTATTTTTCACCCAATTTTTTCATCCAATTTTTTAAAATAAAAATTACTTATTTCCAATTTTATGGTGAGCCGATTTATTCATAGTCCCCGACTTGCTAACTATGCTCATGATTTTATCATCCATCGATTGATTCTATCGTCCCCATAGATTTATTGTAAATTGGAGCTTGCTTTACTAGTTCAATTAATGCCAAATAAATATAAATTTCCTATTTCCCATTAGCACAATCGTTATTCCTTAAAGTAGAGAACTAAACTCAAGCTTCTAATCAATGTCCTATGTCGTCCATAGAGTAGTCATCTTCAACATTTGCTCCATCATCTACATTAAGACACGGATACACCATGATTCATGAGAGAGCGTTTTTTAGATAAAAAGAAAAAGGGCCACAAAAAGGAAAATAAAACACGGCAGCATGAAAAAAATAAAAAGTTGTTAGGGTAATGGTTTTATCCAAAATCTCAAGATTTTTTGGATCACTGATTTTAGAAATAAAATATCATGTACAATCAAAATAGAAAAGAAAGATAAAAAATCACGCCAAACAATAACAAGAAAGGTGGGGAAAGATTGAGCCCACTCATCCAAGGGAACCGGTAAGACCTATACCAGTCAATCACAAGTGTCGATCGGTTCTCAAAAAACTCTAAATGCTAAACCGAACAAGGGTCCAGCCGTTGGTTCAACCGGTTGGACCGCTGGTCCCGTCTGATCTTCTTAACTTTGATTATAACATAAGAAATACACATAAATATGAAAGGTAAAAGTACAAATTCCATTCGTCATCTTGTCGCCTATTCATGCCAAACATAAATATTTCCAAATGTATTCATTTTGACTCATACGAAGACTACTGAATTGAAAAAAATTGATATGGGGTGTTTCTAGGATGGAAGCACAGATGAAAAGTGAGGATCTTCGTCCAAGTTTCCTTTGAACATATGCATGCAAGTACACAGAGGCACATATAAAAAGTCTCAAATGACTTAGCCAAAACGAAAGAAGGAGAGGACACAATATTGTGAAGAGAACAACAGGCATCTAAACAGTTCGTCTGTCTACTCGACAAAGGCACATTGTGCCCAATTCAAAGGCAGACCATGGCTACAACTTTGAGATTGTGGACATAAACATTATTATTTATAGGAAAGTGAAGTATGTCTTGGACATGTAGGGTGGGGGTGATGTGAAGCTTTCGAAAAGCTACAATTGTGTAGGCAATGGAAAAAGCATGTATCATTTTCTCTTTTTCTTTTTGCGACCATTGCTGTGTTTACTAGGTTTACCAACACGGATCTGAGTGCGATTTCTTACTTCTTCAAGGAGTGTGTTTTCGCATTGAGACCTGTCTTACCTCTACCCTTGCACAAAATATAAAATATCTTCCCGCCCAAGAGAAAAAGTGTGCTAACTAATAAATATCACTCTCATACTCTATGAATTTCAATCAAAAGAAGAAAAAATAAATAACTTAGGAGAAATATATAATAAGACCATTTATTTCAATACAAGGATATCACAATCATTCTTAGCCATCAGATTTCAAATGGGGGTTTGTGAGCACATCATTGACTGAATTCAAAGTTGTTTTTAAAAAAAAAAAATATTGAAGTTTGTGACATACCTGAAGACATCTAATTTGGCATATAATGGTTAGTAGTACTTGTGAACTCATAACAAAAAAAAAAATAGTCTCATAGTACGCATTCCAAAAAAAAAAAAAGGAACTACGATATGTTTTTTGGGGGTCTTTCAAAATATTAAGCAAATTGACTTGTGTCACATGGCCATGGAGTCCGTCTATGATGATTTTAGCACCAAGCATGGGCAGGAATGGACAAAGGTTAGGTGGTTAAGGTGGCACAAATATCTTCAGTTCCACTTTATCGTCAAAAAATAATGATAATGTTGAGTTCCATTTCTATAATAGGTAAAGGGTCCATCCCCTCTGAAATGTCCAAAAACAAAATAGTGCACGACACTTAATTAATGAAGAGAGAGACATAATGAATACCCATTATGTAGTACTTCCACGAAAAAAAAAGAGTTCGATGAAACGAAGGGAACGTGAAAGGACGAACAAAGTGAATTACCTCCTCGTTAGGTTAGGCACACAAATGATATGGGTTACTTTTTATAAAGCTTAAAAAGAATAAAAGAACGAGCATAAAGATGACCTAAGAAGCAGCAAAATAGATGAGGAAGAATTATATAACAATGATATAAGGTAACACATGATATATTGATCGATCTCTCTCTCTGTCAACAAATTATTCTCATATTTTGGTAAATTTCCGAATATTTTTGCGGTCGCTTTTCAACAACATGACAGTAGTATGAATTAAGGCCTCCTGTCTTTGGCTAAATTTTGTATAATGATAAAATTCCAGACTGTTTTCTCTGGAAATATTATCGATTTGGGCCAAATTTCAGTGAAATTTCGGTGCATTTGCCTTAAATATGTGTTTTGGGCCCATCCATATTGTGTTTCAGTTAAAATCAGCCATTCAAACCCTAATTCCATCCTCTTCTATTCTCAGTTTTGAAGAAGAATAATCTTACACTTTCAATTATTTGCTGACCCTCAACTTGTAATATTCTTTTTCATTATATTTGTTCTTTTTCTTTACTTTTTTCTCTTTTTTTCCATCTTTTTTTGAATAATAGTACCCTGTCTTTCCTTTGCAATTCCTCACTTTTTTCATGAATTCTTTCTTTGGTACCCTTCAACATGGATCCCAAATTCCATGAATTGTTCATTTCTTGGAATAAAAGCAGATTTTTTGTTCCCTAGATTAGAACCCACACTTCCACAACCTTCTCTCAAGTGGAGAATTGGTGGTAGCCATATTACATATTCCTCTATGCTAATCTCCTCCTCACCTTATTATTCTTTCCCTCTTTCTCCACAAATTTTCTAAAAAGAAATAAAAAAGGAACATGATTTGAAAAGTAGATAAGGCTATTGCATGTCTTTGTCCAAACCATTAAAAAATACCTTGGATTTTTGGTAAGTTTCCTTTTTAGTCGAACAATTAAATGCTTTTTTTTGCAATATAAACTACATAAGAGAAAAAAAAAAAAGGGGGCTATATAAAGGGATCCAATAGCCTAACGAGATATCATAAGTTGTGGCCTTTTTTTTTCAAGTTTTTCCTTTGTGGCCACCACTTAGTCAGAAAACCATGGGAAGTGACTTACGGATGGGAGTTGGAATAATTGGTATTGTGTTTTTTTTGTATAGTTTTCTATTTTTGGCCTAATGAAATAAGCATTTGATGTATTTGTTGGGATAAAGTTCGGATGATGACGATGATATTGATTGAATTTTTTGCTCAATTATGCAGGTAATGCAGCTTCTTTATTACTGTACGCAGCACCAATGTAAGTATTAGGAGAAAGATTTAAGCTTTATGTGGTGATATTAAACTGCCATAGTTTATAACTAATAAAATATTACGGATACTAATAAGAGTATAATGTTTGGTTATCAAAGAGGACCACAACTGATGTTTCTCAGTGCCAACATATCGTAGGATCAGAACTTATATTTCTCTCTTTTTTCAGGGGTGGCAACGGATCCAGACTTGGACCCAAACATTATTCAGGTCTAGGTCCCATATCATTTTTCGAGTTTGGGTCATGCTAGATCCAACCCAACCAGTTGCTGCCCCTATCTTTTATCTTTTTGATGTCATGACATAAATATCTTACTGTCTTTTATCATTTGTTCAATAAATAGAAATATGGTTCAAGATGTAATTATTGTATTACCTATCTACTAGTGAGCAAAAAAACCTGGAAAAATCATTCAAAATAGGTAATAATCAGGAAAAAGAATAAAAAATATATGATAAACAACATAAAAAGTGAATAAAATATGATAATAAACTTCAAAAAAATAGAAAGAAACTGAAAACTGGTTAAAGATCATTTTCTTAAGACATCACAAAAATATAGAAAAAAATTACAAAAATAAAAAAATTTATAGAATGTTAATAATAAGTTAATTATAATTGATTAAGTCCAAGAGTAAATCAATTATACAATTATGTATAGCCCAGATTTGGAGGGTGTTCCGATCTCGACAAGCAGTTTGGCAAGTGACTCGGACGAGTCCAAGTTGACACACCCCACTCGTCAAGTTACAAATCCCTTGTAGAGATGGAATTTTACTAGTTTCCCTTTTCACGGAAAGTGATGTATCTCACTTCAAGAGTTTTTTTTTAAAGCTCCTTACCCTTACCCCCCAAAAAAAAAAAAAAGTATATTATGAGACTATTTATCTTTACTATAAGGATGTTACTACTAGCTATTAGATGTCAAATTAGATGGCTTGAAATATTCACAATTTTCAAAAAATTAAGTTTCGAATTTTAGGTGTAGTCAATGACACACTCATAACCACCCAATTTGAAATTTGAAAGACGAGAGTGATTGTGACCACCTTGCATTAAAGGTGGGAAAAATTCCCATGGCATCCCAGCCAAAATTTTTATTTGGAGGGTGTAAAAAAAAAATCCCCATAAAAGACAACATTCAAAAAATTTATTTTTCCATATTCATGATCACCTTGACCTAGATGATGATTCCCTTAAAATTTGAATAAAAAAAATCTATTTTTAAGATCTATTTTATAGAGGGGACTCATTTGTACATATGAATCAACTCATGGAAATCTCATCCTTTAAACTAAATGGTCTTTTTGTATATTTTTCTCAAAAACAAGGAAAAGAAAACGAAAACATGTATTTTATGATATATTATTGTTGCTGTTTATGAAATAGTATATATATGTATCCTTCTTTAAGTGCACTTTCTTGCGCTTTTCACCATCTTAAAATATCTAATTTTAAGATGTATTTTAGATAGGGGACTCATTTGTATTTAGATGGGGGACTCCTGGAAATCTCATTTTTAAACTAAATGGGCTTTTTGTATATTTTCTCAAAAAGAGGGAAAAGAAGAGATGGACTTTATGATAAATCCTTGTTGCTGCTTATGAAAAAAATATTTCCTTCTTTAGTAGCACTTTCTTGCACTTTTCGCCATCACGATTTAAATGAACAAACCATATCTCGCTAACGTTTTGTCCTTCCCAAATTTTGTCAATTAAATGTCATGAAAATGAGAATGGGGATGGGGTTGTAGTGGTAGCACCATTGAGCCTTAGCTAAGGTGGAAGCTTATATTCTCACCTAACACCTTCGAAAACTATTAATGATTTCAAAAATAGAAAATGGCCTGTATACCTATGGAACTATCAAAAAAAAAAAAAATGTCTTGAAACCCGTTACTTGATTACACAATGAACAACTATTTTATTGTGCTATTTCAAAATTTCAGATTGACATTCACAAGGGTGATAAAGAATCGGAGCACAGAGGAGTTCTCATGCACCCCATACATATTTGCTTTGCTAAATTGCCTGCTCTATACCTGGTATGGCTTACCAGTAGTCAGCATTGAATGGGAAAACTTGCCCTTGGTAACCATCAATGGCTTAGGAACAATACTGGAGACATCTTTCGTATTCATCTACATATACTATGCCTCACCAAAGCGTAAGGTAACAAAACTCTCACCCTGTGTTAGTACATTATATTCATTTCTTTTACTCTTCATTATTGAATTCCACATGCCAACTATATGTTCATTATTAATCAATGATAGATCAAAAGAGTCACAATTACATACAACCCGAGTTGGGGGCAGCAGCCTGTCGTTCCCTAATGACTCGAGCGAGTCTAAGTTGATGCTCCAGAGTTGGCAAACACACGTACTTGCTGATCTTTCTAATCTTAATCTCATTTTTGGGTGCAGATGCCAGTTTTGATCATGACGCTGTCAATTTTGGTGGTGTTTGGAATTTCAGCGTTTGCTTCATCATTTGCTTTACATGAACATCGTCCCCGTAAAATGCTTGTAGGGACGGTTGGGATGGCTGCTTCTGCAACCATGTATTCTGCGCCACTAGTCGCTGTGGTGTGTTTCTCTGCGAATTTCCTTTGCGTTTAATTATGGGATTGTATACTATGAGACCATTTATTATTGATTGAAAGATGTCATAATCATTTCTTACTATTAGATATGAAATTTAATGGATTGAAGTGTGTCACAATATTTGAGAAATTTTATTATGGGCTTTATGCTTAATGAATGATACCTTCTCAACTACCTTATTTTGCAACAAATCGGTCATTAGTAATGTCATCTTCTTGTATCAAAAATAAATATTCTCACTATAAACATTTCCTTTAATTACCTCTTTATCTATGATGAGTCTGGAAGGTAGAAAGTTAGAAATTGCATCCTCCTTTTACGACCATACTCATATGACGTGTCATGGAAGGTAGAAAGTTAGAAATTGCATCCTCCTTTTACGACCATACTCATAATAGTTATGGACCACACTAGTTAATAAATTTAAAGGTGTTTAGTTATAAATAGAACTTTTAAATATGTGGAGACATCGTGACCCAAGGAACCCTCTTTTTTCGTCACTTCTTTTTCATATTATTTTTGATATGTTTATTTGGGAATGGGTCCCACTTTATAGGTGGTCCCATGGGACCAAATGTAAAACAATGTACGTTTGGTCATGTGTCTTGTCTAACCCACCTAATTTGGGTGAGTTGTTTGACATAGAACTTCCTAAGCATCTTCCTTTGAAAAATAGGAGGTAAATGAGTTTGATCACAAATTTCCCAAGATTTGGAAGTCCATAATCAGTATTGGTATGCATTTTCACTTGGGGCACTTTCTCATCTACAAGTTCTTTTGTGGTCCATCAGGTCCATGAAAACTTGAAAATCTTGAAAATTGACGGTCCAAAATTATATTACAAGATGCATAATTTCCAAAACTTGAAATCCATTATTACTCATGTCCATGCATCTTGATGTCGAGATGATCACTTTGAGGGTATTTGGGCATCAAAACAACCTCTTTTAGTGAAATTTTTGAGGTGGGCTCTAATTTGATCGTTTAGAACCTCAGCTCTATTTAAACTTTTTCCTTCAAATTTTAGGTGAGGTCTAAGTGTCTCAAAACTCAGAATACTTTTTATTTATTCTTTTAAATACTTACTTGTTGATCATGAAGTGGATACCCTACAATTCACAATCAGTATTTCTCCTAGTTGGCAAGAGAGAGCAAGTATACAGTGTGCTCTCAGTGGAGTACGCTATACAGACACTTAATTAAACCCACAGGACATCGCTCATCTTCATAACGACAAGAGTCCCTGCTATTAAATAGTTCAAATTTTTAAATTACTTTTTTCCTTTTATTTGTCTTTAGAGAAACCATTGATTTGGATTGAAATTGTATCAGTTTATGCCTATACTTTATCCAAATTATGAAAGTGCCGGAAGGGACCAAACCACGGTTTCTAAGTCGTCATATATTTACATTTGGGTGAGGTTTGTATAAGGTGCCCTCTTCACACTGTAGAACTAAGGCACATCTCTAAAATATTTTTGGAAATATAATTTCAGTGTCAGAAACCTTATGATAACTCAAAAATTATTTTTGTTGTTAATTATAAATGAAAATTTAAGAATTAATACGGATAAAACAAATCCATAAACACTAAAAAATCTTAAAAATAAATAGTCTAGATAACTTGTTGTAAGATGTACTACTTTAGGACTTGAAATTCTTTTTTTCTTCATATCCACACATCTCGAGGTCGAGATGATCGATTGGAGAGTTCTCCATTGTCGAAACACATTGTCTTAGAAGATTTTTGAGTTGCACCCTTATAGGACAAGATGAATACATGTTTTTTGTTTCTCCTTTTTTTTATTTAACCTGCCCCTGGTGCAGCTCAGATAGGACTAGGTCCTAGTTTGGGCCATGGCTTCTTTGACCAAGTCAGGGGGGAAAAGCCTAGGCCGCCGTATGGAGACTAGGGCCATGCTAGGGCAAGGGCTGGCCTAGCCCAAACCTGGCATGTTGCCAAACTTATATATGGGTGCCAATATCTAGCTCTAGAAAATTTGTAGTATACTATTTTTTTTCTTTTTTTTGATAACTTAATTTTATAGTATACTAAGATTTATAGTATACTAATTCTGCTTTATTATGTTGAATGATTACAGAAGAGGGTTGTAGAGACCAAGAGTGTGAAATACATGCCTTTCTATTTGTCCCTATTCTCATTCCTTGCAAGTTTACATTGGATGACTTACGGGTTGCTGGGCCACGACATCATCCTTGCGGTAAAACACTAAAACCCTACAACTTTGTTCTTCATTTATCATTACTTTATATTTGATATTTCTTCATAAATTATCGTAACAATACCTTGAACATCCTCATATGAAAGTTTGAAATCTCAGGATAGTAGGCCAGCGGGAATGGGTCATCTACCTGTGGCAGGAATGAAATCCAACACGTATGAGTAGCAAGGTCCGGTCTGGGTCTGGGTCCAGGTCCAGGTCCAAGTCTAGCCAAACCCAGATCCGACCCAAAAATATACTAGTGGGACCAAGACCAGGACCCGGACCCTGATTGTTTATAATGGACTCAGACCCGAACAAAAGAGAGGAGGGAAAGAGAGATCAAAACCTAAAGATGAAGAGTAAAATTAGTTATAAGAGGATTAATCCCCACCGTTCATTTTATAAAAGAATAATGGTGGGGATTAAACACATAAATGTTATAACTGTAAATATATCTATTTAAAATAAATTAATAAAATTTGGATCGGGTCCACATGTATGCGGACCCAAACCCAAATAGTATTCAAACCCAAGATTTGGACCTGGACCTGATCTACCAGGTCCAAATCTTGCCCAAACACGGGTGAGGTCTACCAATCAGATGTTAGGTCTGCCGGTCCCCTACCAAGACGTCATATTGTAACACTTGAACCCTCCTGTGTTTTATAGAAAGCCATTTTTACTTTGTGCTGGTGCTTAAAATACTAGGATTAAAAGATGTCATCTTCCTTCTTTTTGTTTTTCACAAATCTGTTATTATTTTTGCAGGCACCAAATTTTGTTGGCTGCCCACTGGCCCTTCTGCAACTTGTTATCTACTTCATTTATAGAAAGAATAAGGGGAACATGGTGGAATCTCAAGTATCAGATGTGGAGAAGAAGGCCGATATGGGGAACCCAAACATGACAAAAACTCAAAATGTGGACATAGAGAAGGCAATCATAGATCTAGAAATGACAGTCGAGGTGCGAGCCAAAGATGGAAACACATCCACACAAACCACTAACTGTTAGTTGATAATGACTATGGAGAAGTAAGGTGCAAGGGAATTCACTGAAAGGCAATGCATCAGACAAGTGATCCCTTGGTTTTTCATTTTTTAGTGTTATGAGAAATCGGTGTAAGCTAAGAATTACAAGATAGAGAATCTCTATTAGGGATGCAAAGTTTTTAGAGAAAACTGAGTATGCATAACAGATTTGATAATAATAGGGCAAGTTCAACATAAAATATTAGTACTCATGGAAAATTTTGTTGCCCCTTCATTAAAGAGAAATTGTAAAGAGGCTGGATGGAGGTGAAGGCCCTTGCATACAAAAATGGACAAATGAGTTGCTGTGAGACCAGGAATGTCTTTTATGATATGATGACTGATGATGTGTGTGTGTTTGCATTGTGTGTGTAAAAAGATTTGATGCTCCTAAGAGAGCATTATGTCCATTTCCTCTCTTGGGCAAAACTCGAGTCTGGAAAACTTTTTGGATCCCAAATTTTGGAGATATAATTTCTAGAACACAATGACCAACCTCAAAGAAGATAAATAAAAAAAAAGAATTACTCGCGCTCTCCATGATAAATTGAATTTCCTAAGCAAGTGCACATTATCGCTCCAAGTGCTGCTTCTACAAAGACCACAGTCACATTTCATGTATTCAATTTACTCAATTTATAAATGTTAGGTCTGCAACTTTGAACGATGGAAACATGACATGTCTGCTTTCTCTTCTTTATGGCTAACCTAACAATCTTGTTCGGAAAGTTTTAAGTGTGGTAGTGAAGGCGCATTGTCTATATTCAATAAAACGTTCAATGTTTTGTGATATTTCTCTGAGGACATACAATGCAACCATCTACTACTAAAAAAATTTCGAATCAACTAAACATCTCTACCAAAAACAAGGCATCCAGGAAGGCATTCTAGCAACAAAATTACTTCTGATAGAAGGGTAACATGGGAAATGATAATTACACTTCTTCTAGACAGAAAAGCAAGAATCCAAGTGGGAACTACAAGGTTGTGTAATTCTGGTAGCCATCTTAGTTTTCTTCTTCTATGCGATGGCAACACTATTTTAACTTTCAGAAAGGAAAATGAGGTATGGTTGGCCCCATGATGAACGATAAGTAGCTTATGATGACCCATGGGACTTTGTTACTATGGGTTTCTAAACAAGTTGGAATAAAGGATTGGGACATCTTAAATGTTTCATAATCAAGTTGTCAAGTTTGTGTCTGTTGGTTCAAATTTTTGCAGTAATTCAACTCAATAATTGAAAAACACTGAATGAAAGAAACATGATTCAAAAAGGATTTCAAAGATGGTTACCTTTGTTGGAATACACATTCAAATTTATCAAATTAATTATAAATCAAATAATCTGTGTCACACATTCCATCCATATCCAAAGGGTAACATTGCTGCAATATTCAGCCTAGCAATAATTGACTACTAAGATTACACCAAAATAATTCACAATTAGTTTTCTAGGTAAATAATGCATAATATAACATCAGTAGGACAAAAACTTTTGTGAACCCAATCCTCATCCTAACTCAGGAATGCTTAAGGGCACCATGAGTACAACTTATGCAATAATGGATATACAGACACATGAAAGGTAATTTGACTAGTGTGAGGGATGCAAAAATGTCAACAAACGCATGAACTCAACCCGCTTCTATCTCTTCAACATAAGGTGGGATGCGTGATTGTTGTAGTATGCAACTTCTAAGGCTGCGATGGACATGGTGAACTCGGTGGCTTGAGATCAGGATACTGCACACGTGCACAAATTCAAAGACATGCTACATATTTGCATACATGGATGCATGTTCGCATGCATGCATGCGCTTTGTGCTTTTGTGTGTGTAGGCATGTGCAGGTGTGTGTGGGTGTTGATGTTCTACACATCTTTCTATTGATGATATCTGAAATATGAATCCAAGTAAATAACATGAGCTCTGAATGAGGCAAAGCATTACGTTTGGATAGGGTGAAAGAGGCCTCGGGAGTCCAGGTATAGAGGATGATGTTATTTCTGGTTTCGGGACTGAGTTAACTTCAAATTCCTTAGGAGAGGGATTAGTACATGGATCAACTTTTTCTTCGGTAGTTGCAACAGGTGTGGCATCCTCAACTTTCTGCACTGAGGCAGCATCAACAACAGTCCCTGAGTTTGTGCTTGCTGGAAGAAGAGCTTTGCCAATTCCCTGCAAAAAAAACAGAAAAAGAGGATAAAAGAGTGGGGTAGAGGAGACAAAGAAAGCAGAAAAGCACTAAAATGGATAAAGATTAATAGATAAAATTAATCTCACTGCTGCAAACTCCTAAAGGACTCAACATTATATTTTCACAAGACATACTAATCGTCTAGCTAGAAAAAGACTACATATCCAGGTTGTAGCTAAATTCGGCGAGAGTCATGTCTAGAGAAACCCTACACCATTTTGTCATGGAACAAAGGAGAGAGGAGACCTATAAATAGCACGTGAAGCGCTCGATTGAGCACAATGGTGCTTGCGGCACATTAAACTTGCACAACTGAGTACAATGGCGCTTGGGGCCCATTTTATACTTGCACAATTGCATCAGAGAAGGCACCCTTAACCCATCAACACTTTGTGATTAAATTTTAACTGCGGTTAGTGGGATTGAGTGTGGTTATGGCTGACAATTAGCCAAGGTTAAGGGCGTGTCATTGTTGAAGCTGTATCTTGGCCACATCTATGGATGCGCCGGTTCAGAAACAAATCAATGTGACAATTTACTAACTGAATTCGTGAATGGGTGTGATTGTTAACAGAGTTTGACATTAATAGTGAGAAGACTTGATTCTTCTTCAAACAGTCACATTGAACCATTATTTTCCAAATTCATGAAAGGGCATCTGTACTCAATATAAGGGTCCAAAGCCACTCATTTGTAAGTGTGGAGTTCATGATGGATTCTCTCTCTTTTGTCACTTATTTTCTCTCAAAAGAAAGGCCATCTCTGGTCCTATATGGCTGTTGTTGCTCACGTGCATTCAAATAAGAGAGATTATTATTTCGAGCTTCTCTATTGTTATTCCTTGAACACTGATTTCTATCGGAAGATGACAAAGATTATCTTGAGATAGCATCTTAGATCAACCTTAAAACAGGAAGGCCATTCTCTTTGTTGGTCTTGGGTTTCTAATCATCCAGCTATTTCAATTGGCGAATCTTTATTCATTCTACTCATGTTTCACCCACCTTCCAATTTTGCCACAAAGAAGACGTAAAACAACATCTTACGTGAAAAAGGTTCCATACATTCAGATCTAAGTAAATCACTATTGTTAGTATTTACATTCTGGTATCAATAGAGTCCCTAAATGCATCATATGGAAGGCAATTGGCTAGCGATGAGCGTCGCTATGTATATCATACTTGCAAACATAAACATGGTAAAGCCATTTTATGCAAAAATGGACAAAAATAAAATAAATGAATCAAGGAAGGGGAACAAAAAAGAAAAATGAGAGATGATCGCTAAAAGCTCAAGAAGAAAATATTCTGTGCATAGATCTTTATTCATGAAATTTTTCTTTAACAGATAATTTCTGGAAGTTATTCAGATGGAAAAGTATACAATGAGACCATGTACCTTTGGTACAAGGTGGTCACAATTAATCTTCACCATTGGATGTGAAATTTGATGGATGTATTTATTCCATTGACCAAACTCAAATTTCAAAAAAAAAATTTATCAAACTTTGTGACACACCCAAGCTGTTAGATTTCACATCGGATGATTGAAAGTAATTGTGACCTCCTTGTATCAAAAGTAAATGGTCTTATAGTATACAATCCCTATTCATAAATGATTTATAAGATCGAAGAAAAAATGGATCATCTAGTTGTGGATCAACAAAATAGAAATAGATATCTGTGAAATTAACACTAGATTCATGTCAACCTAGAGTTTTGTGAAGGAAATAGACCCGATCTGGAGCTATCATGTATATAAATTGATATTGAGAAAAATGAAATTAATTGAAACAATCAAACTCAATTTACTAGAAGTAGATCGATCCATAAACTCTGCCAAATCAAACCCACAAAAATATTTTTTGGGGAAAGGCTTCAACTTCACTTTATTCAGTGTTTGGAAACCCCTTGTCAAACTTGCAATGTTGAATTCAAACTCTATATGATCCATTTTTTATTTAATTTTTTTTAAATTGTAATCAAATTAAGTTGCTCCCCAACCATACTTTATGGAATGGAATGTTGGGCGATCAAAAAAACAATATATCCATAGATTTAGTATAGCTGCAATGAGAATGTTGAGATAGTTGAGTGGCAAGACAAAAATTATAGAATCCGGAATGAATATATTTGAGGGAACTTTGGGGTACCTTCAATAGGTGATAAGATGAGGTAAAGTAGACTTAGGTGGTCTAGCCATGTGAAGCATCAACCTAGAACATCACTGGTTGGTAGGGGTGATTTATTTCAAGTGGAAGGCTCTAAAAAGGAAAAAGGAAGGCCCGAAAGGACATGGATGGAAGTAGTAAGAAGAAACATGGCGACTTATGGTCCGATTGAGAGTATGACCCTTAATAGAGCAGAATGGCAGAACAGGATTCAGGTAGCCAATCCCAATTAGTTGGGATATGGTCCGGATGATAATGATGATGAAATTAAGTTCTAGAGTGCTGCAAAGAGCCTCGTATAATTTTTTTGGGGCTTTAATACCCCTAATGGCGGCAAAGAGTCAAGTTCTATTTTTGGCCAAGGGCAAACAAACCCCTGGAAACTGTCAAAATGGCTGAGTTTTGGCCAATGCAGCTGCTCCAGGGATCCCGACATGAAATCAGGGTGGTTTTGTTCTGGGCCCTAGGTACCCCGGTTCAGGCCCATCCAGACCTGGCAGGCTTCTGGTTGTAAGTGGCATGGGCGAGTCAAACCCAACTCACCGAGTTTTAATCACTGGAAATATGCACTTTCCATAAAATATTTACAATGCTTTGCCAATCCAAGATCTCATAGTTCTTAAACCCCAGTTTCCCAATAATTCCATCCACCACTCCATTTTCCTACCACCTCTGACCCAAATTCACCCTAACTTTAAAGTAGGTTCTTGAATTTGAAGTAGGGAAGTGGGTGTAGTGCACCTAATGAGGTAACACATCTGAGAAGTTTGATCTTTCTCCAAAAAGTTATCATTTCTTTGTCATTTCAATTTGCTATGTACTGTACTTGCTGAGTGCAAAAGATATCCTATCATTTCAAGCACGACAGAATGATAATGCACACTACAGAATTACCAAGACTTTAAGTCCCCATTGTTTTAAAGAATTTATGATGTAAAAGAAGGAAGCAAGAATCCAAACCACAAAAGATATGATGAGAGCCAAAGTTGGTCCCAACACTATCCCTTGCTGAGTTATAAAATAGAAAATGAAAGTCATAATTTGTTATCCCATTGGTTTTTCTATTATGATGATTATGACACAAGGAAATAGCATTTGTTTCCATGAGAGAGAGAGAGAGAGAGACCTTTATTTCGTCAACATGTTCCTTGGGGGCGACCTTAGTGTTCAAGAACTCATCAATCTGTTGGAGAGTAACCTTACGATCCTGCAGGCAAAGTCCAAGGCGCCATAACAAGATATTGCGTTATGAAACTAAGAAAAATAAGTATTTGCTTTGTCAAAGCAGCAAAGAACTAACCTCTGCAAATAGGAGCTTCTTTGTAATAAACTGGAAAGCCGCAGCAGAGCCCAAAAGCTGGAGTGCAGTTTCAATCTGTAGTAAAAAACTTCTAATCAGAATATAATCCATGAATTGAAAAATCACATAAACGGAACTGATAAAACATCATTTGATGTGATTATTATAGAATTAAAAATGCTAACAAACAGAACTACCATATACATTGAATATAGATCTACCCATGAGATGCAATAATTCAGAGTGATACTATACTAAAAGTATGCAAAACTAATTAGCCTCACCTCTGCAAAAGCAAGTACACCGAATCCTGTAGCAGCAGCAAGACCAAGGGCAACAGGAATTGCATCTGAATCCTCCTGTTTACACCAATTTTTTATCTCGAGTCAATTGAACATTCAGATGACACAAACACCACAGAGTTGATCATAGTGAGGCCAATAAATAATGAAAAGAGTAACTCAATCTTCTTTTTTAGATGGTATTGTATGTTTCCCAATTTAGAATCAGATGCTCAAAATTGAACAAAGTGGTACAAGAAGTGATAGCTCAAAGAAACTTGCCTCTCATGAAACAGCAGTGTCACATATGTTCCATAAAATATGCAAATAATTTAAGGAAAGTACTATGTAGAAAGATGATCGAATGTTGTTAATAGGTTGAGATAATTGTCGCTATCGGTGAAAACATTTGCAACAAAATAATGGGTTTAAAATGTGGGAGAATATATGAGAAGGAAATTTCAAGAATAAGGGTGTTGTTTAAAATACAAAGTGTCTATTAAACAGTGGTTGAAAAGGATTACAGAACGGGACAATAGAGAAGGATCTATCCTAAGAATTCTCAAGCAAAGGGTCCTATTAACAAATTAAAAATATGAATATTGAAATCAAAAAAGAATAAATGGGCTATATGGTACACATTTCAATATCAAAAAAGACTAAATGGGCTATATGGTACAGAAAGTCCAATCATAAGGGTTGTATGGGCAAATTCAAACTGCTTGCATTAAAAACACATGCTAAAAACAAAGCTACTTGGTCAAAAGGGAGTATTCAAAATTTCAGCTGATCATCACCTTTAATTAATGAAAAATGAAAACACATGAGAACATAAATTCATCTTCGGAAATGGAATACAAAAAGAAACAGTGATGTATGGCACGTGGTACACCATACTCCACTGTCCATTCCCATGATTGACGGTAGAGATCAACGATACACAGGTGAATCTCTGTCATTGGAAATTTAAGTTATACTCTTGACTGGCATTTGCCAGACAGTGGATGCCCTTGTGGTGTACCATATACCACTGGTCTATGCTGTACTTCCCTTTTTGTTCTTCAGAGACTGATCAACTGATATTTAGAATAACCTAATCAAATACTTCAAAAGAAAGGAAAACATACACCAAACCCTCACCTAACCTCATAATACCTGTGAGAAAAAAAAAAAGAAAATAAAGGAAAAACATAATGGTAAGGAAAGTGAAACATACTCCAAGAGAACCGTCGAGTGCATCCTTCAAATTGCTAAAATCAATAGGAAATGATTTATTGGGAGGTGACCAAGGAAGCTTACTGTTCTGCAAAAGGTAGTTAACATATCATATTACTCTAAACATTTCAAGTAAAAGGCTATGGCATATGATTCAAAGATCCATAGGGATAGGACTATAAAAAAAAAAAAGGAAAATGAAGACCATCCATCCTCGAGATCCTTCAGCACCATCCTTTATAGCGAATACAGCTTTGAATCCATTAGCAGTAACCAATTCTGCTACCTGTGTTGAGTTTCCATCGTACCTGTCTTCCAACATAGCCTCAATCAGTCTCAATAGGAAGAAATACGAATATGAAAGATATACAATGTGCATCAGATTCCAGAAACAGGGGCGAAAGTGGAATTGGACTACACATATACAGTTCAAGAAACTAGGTCAGTTTGCAAGTACCACTAGTAGTGAGTCAAAGTATTGTTCTACTAGAATAATCATTGAACACATTAGCGAGAAATTTGGTCCACCTCAGCCTCTCGGGTTGAATTTTTGAACCACGTTTACTTGAGCACAAAATGGTGCAATTCAGTACCAATTTTACTAAAACAGAAAACCTGCTTTGCTTTAGTTCTTGATTGAAAGTACTCAAGAATGCCACTTACTCAAGAACAAGTGGTCTGTCCAAACTCACCCTAGTGGTGCGAAACTAGTCTTCATAGGCACAGGAACCCAATGCAAACCAGTAGGAATTAAGTTGTCACATCTCATAGATATTAAATGTGCCATCGAAATGGGACTTTCACAGAAATAGCACAAGTAGTATTTCATAAACATGGAACAAGAACAAATAATGAAGAAATCAGAAGCAGCAAGCAAAAATTACAGAAAAATGAATAGCCATGTTTGATATTGCCCCAGTCCCCAATTACAACAGTTAGGAGTACCCATCCAGTCATTCTAAATAAACATAAGATTAGTATTGAATGGAATTTTGGAACAAAACAACATCAACCCAAAAATCAGGAGTTCAGATTGCCTAATTTCAAAGAACGCTAATTTTTCATTTTTCATTTAAAAAAAATGTGATTCTGAAAAAGCAATAACTAAAATAAATGGATATTAGAGGAATAAAAACAAATAGCACATAGAACACGCAACCAGGAACTTCAATCCACTCATCTTGTTCACTAATACAGAAGTTTCCCACATAAATAAATTTCCAAATATTCTCTAGAACTTTTTTATACTTTAAAGGATGAAAAGATGACATGAAAGCAGAAGCAGATGACGTAGAATAAAAAAAAAAAATAAGCTTCTTTAAGATGAAGGTTTGAAGTAATGACCCATTTGGATCTCCTTTTGGAACATGGGGTGTTCATCAATTCATGGTGTGTGTGTGTGAGAAAGAGAGAGAGAGGGAATTCAAATTACTAAACACCAAAAGAAACATACATAAAAAACTAAAGGGAAGAAGGAGCTTGTGAAGGTGTTTACTTGTCCAAAATAAACAATGTAGTGCTGGTAGGGACCTTGAACTTGGCATAAACCTTCTTCAAGAACGCAACCTTGTCACTCACAAAAGGAATTGAGACAGAGCGCTTCTTTAAAGACTTCAAATCAGGAGAACCCACCATTCTAATGTCCTCCACACCCCTTATATCCAACAACTGAGAATCCCCATCTTCAGCTAACTTAGAATAAGCAGTGATTGCAGACTTAACACCCCAACCCTTTGGTTTCTGCAAAAAACTCGCCAAAATCAGAGGGACTGCCAACACAGTGGCTCCTCCAGCTAAAATAGCAGGATTCTCCATTCCAAACTGCACAATTGAGTCCACTAGACCACCCAAGTCAAAACTATCTGCACCCCCAGATGTGAAGGTCTGCAGTGATTGCTCAATAGCCTCCTCATAAGTGAGAGCATCTGCTGAATTCCCACCAAATATAGAAGAGTACAGAACTGTTGCTGTGCCTAAGAGGCTCTTAGATAAAAACTCTGATAAATTTGAAGATGGGTTAGAATTGGAAGAAGTTGATAGCTTTGGGTTGGTTGCAAATTGGTGATAAATTAACTTTCTGGGTTCTGTTTTTCTATCACTAGTGATGGTTGGCTTGTAAAGTGAAACAGGTGTTAGTGTTAGTCTTGCTGCATTGAGAACCTCCATGGCATAATTCCCCTTTTCCTCCTTCTTCCTTTCCTTCTTCGTTCCAGAGATTAGATGAAAGACAAAGGGAAGAAGACTGATCTGGTGCGAGAATGTTAAATTATTTGGTTTTTAACGAGAGAAAATGGCTTGGTTTTTTTGATTCATGGGTTTGGAGCCCTAACGTGAGAGCATAGTTTTGAGCCATCCATTATGGTGACCTTCCAACAACTGGGGTGATGACATGGAATAGATGATATCATGATTTCCAATGGGAGCTTGCCAAGTGGAAATTAGGATTACACATATGCCACACGCCGATAATACTGCAAACCACTAGGACAGTACAATTGTAGGTAGTACAAGTGCGATATGGGCTTAAAAAGTTGGCACTTAGGTCCGGCACAGGTCCAAACCAAAAGCTAGTTCACTTTCGTTTCACTTGTAAAAGAGAGAGAACATGATGACAAGGGATCAGTGGTTACGGCTCATCACTGTCCAATAGAAGTATGAGGCCACTTGAAGAAGCCATGGTGTAGATGATAGTACCTACTCTTTCCATAACTTCCGAACCCAATGGGATGATAGTGATTAACTCATGTCCAGCATCATTATCATTGTCGTCGTCACCATAGTTATTTTTTAATTATTTAAAGTCGGTTACACGAATTTTGGTATGTTATTATGTTCTATTAAATACATACCCTCGTAAAAATCATAAGCCCTCATATCTTTTCGGACTACTTCCAACCACATCTTCTTGCATCTATACCTCTCTATTTTCAATCCTTTCACTTGAATTAACTCGCACCTCCTAAGATGTTGTACTGAGTCAGTACTATACATGGTTAGCCCACCGAAGTCTACTCTCTCTCATCTTATCGTCGGTTGGTGTCACACATAAATATTTCCGACTGGATTCATTTCGAATTGTATCCCTTCTTATCTTGCCACTCATCCATCTCAAATCCTTATTTATGCTACACTCATTCTATAGGTATATTGTCTTATGTATGCCCAACATTCCGCCTCATAGAGCAAAGCTGGTCTCCCAGCTATCCTATAGGACTTGCTTTTTAACTTTGTTGGTATGCGGCAATCACATACAATTCCAGTTGAATTACAGTCTACCAACCCAATAAATATTATGATAAAAGAATTGTATATTATGAGCCATTTATTATGTGACAAGGATATCTCATTTATTTTTAGCCATTGGATGTAAAATCGAATAGATAAAAATATGTCATAATATTAAAAAAAAATTGTTTTGAATTTTGTGCCTAAATAATGACACATACTCAACCACCCGATTTCAAATCTAATGGTCAATGATGATTGTAACCTCTTTGTATAAAAAAAAATAGTTGCATTTTACACATTTTTCCATGATAAATGCTCATGAACATATTCAACAATAGCAAGATTAGGGCCTCTCTCTAGTAAGATGGAGATACCCCTCCAACTGATCCCAAAGAGAGAGAGAAAGAAAGAGAGAGATCTGTACCAAATGCAAATAATTTTGGATCATTGAGATGCCAATTGAGGTGGAACTTTTAGGAATTAAAAAATAAAGCAAATTATGTGCGGACGGTAGGGAGTTCAGCTACCATTCGGCTCAGTGTCATTTGATAATTGAACCCCTAATAGTGTCCGTAAGTAATTTCCACAAGCCGTTGGAAGCCACAAAATAAAAAAAAGGCTTCTAAGTAGAAATGATGCTATTTTTGGAAGCCGCTCCTATACAAAAGCAGTGAAGGAGTGCTTCCCTCTACCACAAACAAACAGGCCTTTAGCGATGTGAGCCGAGTTCATATACAGTTCCGGACATTCTCTAAGCTTCGGCATAAAGTTTCAGACACGGATTATTTTCCAGCCACATATCGACCCGGTCTGCCTTGACCCAACCACATATGATAGAAATGCTAAGGCTCATCCCATCCAGCCACATGAAATAGAGAAAACCCTAGCCCAGGCCAAGCTTTTAGGCTGCTGGTCAGTCCTGCCCAATCCAGGCCTGTTCTTGACTCTATATAATCCAAACGGAATTTTATCTTTTTTTTTTTTGACAATAATCCAAACGGAATTTTATCTCAATGCAATCCTTGTCGTTCAATCTAAATCAAGGAATCACATCTCACACAATGGAGAATTCAAGGCCAAGACATTAGATTCTAGTTGTTATGAGGGCGATGAATTGGGATAAGATAATTAATCAATGAATTACTGATGGAACTAGTGGACAAATGGGTGATTCTACAGTGATGAGTGATGACCCTCTAAAGTCATGAACACTGTAGAAGATTTTCATTTCTTGTCATGAATATCCTAGAGCATTCCAAATCCTGCAAGGAATGTATTGAATACATCAACCGAGGTTTACAATGTGAAGATACTATTGAGATCATAACATCAAAAGTGTGCAAGGTTAGATTTTCGATCCAGTTTGGCAGATCAGCAATCCAGTCTAGAACTGATCATTAAGAATTTTAAAAATGAAAAAACTTAGAGAAAAATGGGACCAGCTCTAACCAGTTCTCTAATAGAACCAACCATGTCAGGAGGAAACAGACTAGTTCCCTATATTTCAAGAGAAGTGGTTCTACTCCTTACGATTCCTATTATAGATTGGTTGGTTCCAATCCAAATCAGCGTTCTTTTTTTTTTAGCATGTATCAAGATAGAACCCAACTTGGACCAACTAACAAAGTGATGCATTAGATTTTTATACACACCCCAAAATTACTAAGGACTCATTTGATTCTCATGTAAACAGTCACCAAAAACTGCTTTCATATGAACTACCAATTTCATATGTTTGGTTATTGTTTGGGGGAATGATTTCATGCAACGGTTGTATAGTAGTATAATGCAACCATATTAAAAAACCATGTTAAAGACATTTATTGGACACAAATTTTTAAATGTACTCTTTTCATTATGAAGAACAATCTCAAAAAAGAAAATTTTAAAAAAATGCTCTAGGAAGTTTCATTCTAGCCCAAATAATATAAGCCGTCCATTTTATTGAGATGGTTAGATATAGGCCTCAAAAGGATTCTTTTATTGTCAAAATTTTTATATAGGCTTATCATCATTAGATTAATAATGCTAAGAAAGAAAAAAGTGATTTTGAATTTGTTAAGGACTACATCTTAAAATTTACCAAATGGATGGTCGAGATTCATTATTGGATAGGTACCAATTTTGACCATATCTTGGGTGTAAATTAAATTTGTTTTTTTTGTAGGATTGATTATGAGGATGAAGAGAATGTGTGTGCAAAATTGGGATCATATAAATGCTAAAAATATAGTTTTCTAGATGTGTAGTTGCATTATACTACTATATAATTGTTGCATTAGATCATTTCCCGTTTATGAATAGCTTAGGAAACATATTTCTATGTGAATTCATTTCTCCACGAATTAGCCAGGAAAGCATCTACCGACCCTAGGGTAAGAAGACCTTTCCGGGAAACCCTTTCCTCATCAGACCCAAATTAAGAAATAAAATTTAGCCTAAGAAGCCTTGCTCCCAAAAAAAAACCCCCCCGGACTCTCACCCAAACCTTTCTACTGTACCAAAACCAAACGGTCCCCTTGCTTAAACCACCCACTCTCTAAAACCAAACCCTTCTCTAAACCTCCTCGTTCTAAAACCAACGAAGCCCTTCCCTCTTTAAGCCCTGAGAAATTACAAAAACCCACCTCTCTCTCAACCTTTCTTTGAAGGACCCAACCCGGTTTCTATGCGGCCACGCCCGCAAATGTAGAAATACGGGCCTCTTATTAATAAATTTATTTTTAAAATGAATTATAAGACTTGATTTTTAAGGATATGAAATCTTTAACACGGAGATCATAAATATAAAACAAATAAATAAATTTTAAAAATTAGTAAGAAAACATTTGGACAGTTAGTTTCCATTGTTTTTAAATGAAATACGTACTTGCATTCATCTTTAAGATGGATGCTTACACTTTTTAGACTGCATATGTAGAAATGCGGTCAAGCCCACATAAAATAATTTTCCTTCTCTAAGACCTGAAAAATTGCATACTCGAGCTCCCTCTCTCTAAAACCAATTGAAATTGCATCTTTCACCCTCTTTCTCTCTCTCTCTAGTGGAAGGGCTCACTGAAAGGAAGGGAGTTCACATGGATTTCCACACATTTTATCGAACATGGGGAAGCAAAATGCTTGAGAAACCCAATCTCTAAGAGCCCGTTTCACTTATTGGATTTAGATTTCCAAGACTCAATTTCTCTGGAAAAGTTGGGCCAATCGTGTTCGTTCCACTTAGAATTGACATTTCCATTGGAATTGAGACTTTTTTGGGATTCCTAAATGCTCATTTTAAGTTTAAATTTTAGAAATCTCAATTTCATCAAAATAGGTGGAATTGACATTTCATGGAAATGATCCATTTTGTTGCTAAATAAAAAAAAAATAAAATTTAGATAGAGAAACTATATCAAAATTTGAAGAGAGAAAACATATTAAAATTTTAAAGAAATAAACTATATCAAATTTTAGAGAGAAAATATACGAAATTTTTAGACAGAAAAAATATACACTTCTTTTGGTGAAAGAACTATCACAAATTTTTAGAGAGAGAAACTATCTCAAATTTAAAGTTTTACGGAGACCATATTAAAATTTTAGAGAGAAACTATCTCAAATATTAAATTTTAAGGATAGAAAGTACCTTAACATTTTAGAGTGGGAAACTACTTAAAAATTTTTAGAGAGAAATATCTCAAAACATTTAGAGAGAAAAATTGTCTCAAATTTTAAGTGCTAGAGAGTGCATATTAAAATTTTAGATATTAGAAACTGTATCAATTTTAGATAGAGAAACTATCAAAAAATGTTTAGAAACTATCTCAAATTTTAAGTTTTAGAGAGATAAAATATCTTAAAACTTTAGAGAGAGATACTATATCTAATTTTAGAGAGAAAGTACATAAAATTTTTAGAGAGAGAAACTATTTGAAAATTTTAGATAGAAAAACTATCTCAAATTTTAAGTTTTAGAGAGAGAAAGTATATTAAAAATTTACAGAGAAAAACTTGAAAATTGTAGAGAGAGAAACTATCTCAAATTTTAAATTTTAGAGAGAGAGAAAGCATATTAAATTTTAGAGAAACTATATCAAATTTTAGAGTGAGAAAGTACCTAACATTTCTTAGAGATAAAGTATGTTAAAAATTTTACAAAAAAAACTACCTCAAATTTTAAGTTTTCAATAGAGAAGTACCTTAAAATTCTAGAAAGAGAAACTACTTGAAATTGTTTAGAAAGAGAAATTATCAGAAATTGTTTAGTGAGAGAAACTATCTCAAAAATTTTATAGAGAGAAATTATCTCAAATTTTAAGTTTTAAAGAAGAAAGTATCTCAAAATTTTAGAGAGAGAAACTATATCAAATTTTAGAAAGAGAAAGTATATAAAATTTTGGACAAGTTTTTTATGCTTCCCATACCGCATAGAAGTTCTATCTTATCCCTTATCCAACTGTCTATTCTGAATTGAGGGCTAAGATTGCCCCAATCACATTGTCACGTCTCTACACTCTTTTATTTTTAATTTTTTTTCTATAAACTATTTTGACACCAAAATTTGAACGTCCATGCCTCTATTAAACATCCACTAGCGAAAAATATATAAAACAAATATTTTCAATAAAATAAAATGACCAAAATACCTTTAAAAGTTTCAAGAGGTATTTTGGTCATTATATTTTATCAAAAATTTATTTTTAATATTTTTTGTAGGTGCGCCCCAATAAGAAGATAGCACATACCAAATTTCATATTCATACAATTTGTATAAAAAAAAAACTAAAAATAAAATACTTTAAGACATCGGATCTAAGATCAAACGGCGAGTGGCTCTCTTGATCAAAATTGAACGGTTGGATGGTTGGGGGAGGATAGAACTTCTATGCTGTAGAGGAAGCATAGAAACCTTTCCTTAAAAATTTTTAGATAGTTTAGAGAAACTATTTCAAATTTTAAGTTTTTGTAGGAGTGTATTAAAATTTTAAGTTTTTGTAGGAGTGTATTAAAATTTTAAAGAAAATTTTAGAGAGAAACTATCTCAAAATTTTTAGAGAGAGAAACTTTGCATTTCTAAGAAAAAAATATTTCAGACAATCCAAATGGAATTCACATTTCCAAGAAATCTCAATTCCAAAAAATCTCAATTCAAGGATCGACTTTTCCTAAGATTGAAAACTTCAGGGATCCAAACGGTATACAATAAGATCATTTACCTTTAATACAAAGCGGTCACAATTACTTACAATCATCTTATGTAAAATTTGATACAAACTTCGAAAAACATTTCTTTTGAAATTTGAACTTGGTCAATAGAATAATTGCAGCCACCCAATTTCACACCCAAAACTAACCTAAGGAGTTTTAATTTTCAATTAAAAAGTACTTCACACGAACTAAATACCCCTAACAATGTCGAAAACCCTTCATCACGAAGGGAAATGACCATTTAGTGTGGGTCAGAGATTTGAGACCGTTGCTCTATCGCACAACAATCACCCATTAAATATTTGATCCAACGGTTAGAGGAGCCCATCCTTACATGGCACTTTTTTGTTTTTTTTGTTTATTTTTTTTGTCTAATGAAGGGGTGAAGGCAATGTCGGTGTATAAATATGTGAGTGTACCCATATATGTGCATGTTTGTGTCCACATATTTTTTACATTAGCAGGACCCATTTATCTGTCCTGCCCTTTTGGGCTTTATTCTATGCCCTCCTTCCTTTTCCCTTTTACTTTAGTATTTACTTATGCTTCTTTGAGGTTCCATGTTATGTTCAACTTCTTTCATGTGCCACAATTTGTGTTCTACTTAGTTTTTGGGCATTTCTTATTCTAAACTTTCTTATGTAGCTCATTGTTGGAAAGCAGTGTTTCAAAATTGGATAGATGGATTGAACCGGTCATCCACCAATTCCGAGCAGGCTCGCTGGTGTTCTAAGGTCTCTTTGAATGAATAAATAGAAAAATATCATGATAATACAGGGAAAAACTGGGGGTTTTAAGGCCAGGACGGATACCCGTTTTTAACACTGTTGGAAGTAGCCATTAGTGATAACTGAAAACTAGAAGGAAAAGAAGGGATGTATGTATTCTATATGCTAGCATTTGACTCTCAAACAGTTAGCTACGTACGGCCTTCCATACCATTATATTTCAACCGTTTGAAGCCCATATGCTAGCATTGAATGGAACCCAAAAGACGGATGCATTCGAAAGTGACTACGAGACTTCTTTGGAGCTCATAGAAGCATCACAATGAACATCTTACTCTTGGAAATGAAGTCAAGCAAGGTGACAGACATTTCATCAGACCCAAGTACATTTAGAAACAAGATTACAAAAGATCAAAAAAATAGTCCAAACCTTGTCCAATCTCCCAAATTGCCAAACCAGCTCCCCAAGCTCGAGCTTCATCCAATCGCTTTGAGATCGACATCAATGATGGGTAATAGACCACATGCTTCTGTTGATTATCGATATACGAGAAGTAATGCTCTGCAATATCTTCCTTCCAATGCAACACAGGTTTGTACTTTGACAACAGAGACAGATACTCATTTCCAGTTATAGGCCCACCACCTATAGCAAAAAGTGAAACGATCCATGTCAACCAATCATATAGAATAAATCTTAAAACAAAATTAAATTTACAACTAAATGAAAAGAGGACTTCTTTGATGTGCTGATGTATACATGCAATAGTAATTCTGTTGTTTCTACAATATGACCATCATTCATTTACTCATAATCAAAATTTTCAAGGACCTATTTGTGAAGCTTCCTAGCCTTTTTGCCCCAAGTCATCAAAGTTCGACAATTTGGGAATGACATGTTCAACCAATAACTACTAGGTCAAATTGGGACTTTTGCAAGTCATCTTATTGAACAAAAATACATTAGCATTTATGCATTCAAATAATGGCCATATAAGTTGGAACAAACTTCATGATAATGTTAACCTGAATTTTAAATAATTATGAGAAGGTCCAAGGGTAATAATGCAAATGTTTAGATAAGCACATAGAAACTTAAAAGCCCAAAAGGAAATAAATAAAAGTAGTAAGAAGAGATATAATAACTTATGATCTGGCTAACGGTAATGGCACGTGCTTGATAGAGCGCAATGGCAGAATAGGAATCGAGTAACCAATGCCAAATAGTTGAGATACAACTTGGATGATATAATGATGACAGAAAGTCAACAATTGATATTCTGGATAGCCTTGTACTACAAATAGGACAAGAATGGTTTATATGTACTTTGAGGTATGCATTGTCTTCAACTTTTAAAGTTAGTTTAAGAAAGACAAAACTTTTAGGACGTGTTTGATAAGTAGAAGTTTCTGGAAGTGGGAGTTAAATGTCCCACTTCTATGTTTGATATTACTGTGTGGAAGCTGTAAAGTGGAAGAGCGACCTTCCATGTAGCTTTTTTAGTGTTAAAATGGGTTCATTTTTGGAAGACCTCTCTTCCATAAAAAATGACGGAAGAGCAGTCTTCCATAATTTGTGGGAGAGTCCCTTCCGCTCCCAAAAACTCCATGTGTCAAACACACCCTTAAAGTTTAAACTACACTCTTTTCTTATCAATAGATGCCTATGTCACAAATAGCATTATTGTTAAGCAATGATTGAATCACAGTATAAGGCAAATGAATTCAACATTACACTATATTCCATTATTTCCCACTACATGACACACAAACATGCACATGCGCACACGCACATGCACACATGCACACGCGCACACACACATAGAATCACCAGCATCATCATCATCAAAGCCTCTTCTCAACAAATTGGGGTCGGCTACAGGAATCCTTATCAGTCGTTCTACTCTATTAAGGATCACATCCTCAATAAAGCCACAAGTCCCCATATATTTTCTCACTACTTCTATCCATATCTTTTTGAGCCTATACCTTGCCCTTTTTTAGCCTTCCATTTGAACTAACTCGCACCTCCTAACAAGTGTTGCACTGGATCTACACCACACATGGTTGGCCCACCTAAGTCTACTCTCTCTCATCTTATAGCCTATTGGTGACACATATCCCTTCTTGTCTTGTCACTGATCCATCTCAACATCTTCATCTCCGCTATACTCATTCTATGGGTATTTTGACAGCCAACATTCCGCCATATAGAGCAAAGCTGGTCTCACAGTTGTCTTATAGAACATGCCCCTTCAACTTTATTGGTATATGCGACGATCACATAAATTTCGGCTGCACATCTCCACTTTGCCCACCTAGCTTTAATTCTATGTGTGACATCTTCCTCAATCTTTCCATTTTCCTAGATTGTAGACCCAAGATATCGAAAGTACGCTCTTTTTGGTATTTCCTAGCCGTCAATCTTAACTGCTTCCTCGTATCTACTCCTATTATTATTAAACTTGCAATTCATATAATAGGTCTTAGTCCGGCTAATTTTAAAACCTTTAGATTCTAAAGCATCCCTCCAAAGTTCTAATTTTGTGTTTATAATGTTTCGGATTGCATTGATCAAAACTATATCATCGGCAAACAACATGCATTATGATACCTTATCTTGTAGGTGCCTAGTTAAGCCATTCATACAATATATTATTGTTAAGGACAATATGGAATAATCCATATACTACATAGAATAAACTATATATAATACTCCATATAAGTGTCTATTTGGATGTGTACCCAAATTTAAAATATTTTCAAATGCCAAGAGAAAAGGATTTAGATAGAAGATAAGAACCATTTGGATAACCTCATAGGGATTTCTAGTTCATGTAAACAGATATCACTTTGACCCAAAAACCACGCGCCTAAAAATTTTAAGTGGGACTCAAATCGTTTTTTCTTTAGTCGCATTTCTCATGAAAACTTTTACTTTAGTCACTCCCGCGCCTCTCTCTCTCTCTCTCTCTATAGTCTCTCATCTGGTTTGTTCCTCTCTCAACCCTCTCTCTCTCTCTCTAACGGCTTCTCTAAGGTAGGTTTTTTGCTGTGGTTTTATCGTGTCATGCACACAACTCTAACTCTCCCTTGCTATCACAAGTTTTTGAAGGTGATGGGTGTTTCAAAGCAATCTCCTATCCATTTTTCTTTCCCAAATATGGATATTGTTTGATGAAAATGGGGTGATGGGTGTTTCAAAACGATCACCTCTCAATGTTTCTCTCTCAACCCACCATATTTCTTCATCAAAATTTCACCAATGAATTCCAAATACTAAAATTTTGGATAGGGTTTTCGAGAAAATAAAGCAAAGTCCTAAATCGGTTTGAATGGCTCGTATATTCTTAGTTTCTTTAATTTTTCTCTATATTTTTATTATTTCATAGCTACTGCATCTCCTTTAGAATTGCAAAAGAACAATGTTGTGTGACACTCGTTTTGGGTAATGTTAATGTGCTGTCATCTCAGTTAGCTTGAGGCTTCTTGATTGTTGCTAGATTTTTGCACATCTAGAAACAAATTTGTAGGCAATCTCTTTCTTGATTGCTGCTAGATTTTTTGCACATCTAAAAACCAGTTTGTAGGCAATCTCTTTCTTAAATCTCATCATTTTGCAGGCGACTTCCATTTCTGCACATCTTAAACCAGCTTGTAGGGAAAAAATGATGCATTAGAATTGTTTTATTAATTTCTTTTGAGAAGCTTTTAGGCTATAATCACTGCTGATTATACTGAGCATAAGAGTAAACAAAAATCTGCTACTTTTGATGATGGTTACACACTCTATTTTTTATCAATGTCATTTCTCTTATGTTGCCTGGTTGATAGTGTATTTGACTCATACAACCAGTCAAAATTTATTGCAAGGCATCCAAACCGACATATCTAGCCAATAAAATTTTTCATCTCGTATTTTAATAGACATCCAAATAGTCTACCAACATAATAAAATATAATAATAATGTTTCTCAATTGAGGAAGAAAAAACTTACAATTTTTTTCAATGTGAATATTTTTTTCTTTGACATCCAAACTGGCCCTAAGTCATATACCACATAGAATAAGCTATATATAATAGTCTATATCTACTTACTTCAAATAGTCTACTATACATACTATTTCATACTACCCTATATTATCAATTAAGGCCAATATAATGGTGTGTTTCTAGCATGGTATACAAAACCTTTGATGCCAACTACGAGATCACACTGATAGCAGATTATATGATAGTTTAAAATACTCTTTAGAGCATCTTTAGAGCATGTGCGTATGGTTGGTACTGGTAGAACCAGTATTTGAAAACTCGGCCGAGTTTTTGGCCGAGCCTGAGTTGGCCCAAGTTGGAGGTTCAACTCAGGAATCTTACAAAAAATTTAAAAAAAAAAGAAATTTTTTTTTGACGTAAAGTATTTTGGCAATTTTGACATTTCGAATCGTTTTTGGAAAAATTTCAAAACTAGCCTCGGTAACAAACTCATTTTTTAAAATTTATTTTTTGCTACTTTTTAATAAAAAATAATTGTGTTTTGTTTAATTTTACTTTGAATATATTTTTCCTATTTTTTGGATTTTTATTTATTCTTTTAAAATATTTTTTGGCTGCTACAGTGCTTGGCTCTACTCAGGGGAGTACTCACCTGGGGCATTAGGTCGAGTAATCAGGACGAGTCATCGTTTCAAACATTGGGTAGAACAAATTACTGAAATGACCCACCCTAGATATTCAATATTCAAGCTGCCAGCCGAAAAGCAAGCCATGTAAGCCAAATGGCTGGCTTTACACAAGTGAGTTTGAATGGACCCAATGCAGTGAACTACTATGAACCAAAGAAGATTCTCTTTTCTTTTTTCTTTTTCTTTGTTCCTTCTTTTTTTCTTTTTTCGCCTTGTTTAAAGTCAAAGCAAATTTTGTTCAATATCTGAAAAGCACATACCTTGAGGAAGCACAAAATCATTTCCATAGAAATTGATGCCCACAAAAACTTTATGCGCAAGGCTTCTCAGACTTTCATTGTTTCCTGCCAGAAACTGTACTACAGCCCGAACCCAGTACAATGGTGCATTGGGACCAACATAGAAGGCGCTTGAGAAATCATAAGTCATCAATGAAAATCCATCAACAGCTTCAATCAAGTACTCAAAATCCTCCGATGAAAACATTAGCTCTTTAGGGGAATGCTTATTTGGAGGACCAATAACATACACCAACTGCAAGCTGCAGTCAGAGTCCTGCTTTAGACGAACTAAATGCAATGCTAGTCCCAATTGTTTGATGAACTCCAGTGCCTATTACGACAACAAAAAATGGGTATATCAAACATTACGTTTAAATAAGTACTGATGAGAGAAAACATAGTTGAGAAAGGATCATGGGATTCAATTTAGCCAAGCACACTGAACTTGGCAGCGAGGATTGCTTTTAATGCATTAAGAAGTTCCAGCAGTGTTTATAAAAAAAGTGGTAGTGTTTACGAATCAATAAACAGAGTTTAAGAACTCAACTGACTTCACATTCCTCTTCAGTTCTCAATGGATCAGTTGTTAATGTTAGTAAGACTAGACCAGATCCCATTAGCTCCTCCAAGTCTAGACCGAAAAAGAGAAAATGAACCCTGAAGGTCATAAAAAGTATGAAGGAAACATTATCAGGCCAGTTCGACCAGTTCATAACTATCGGATATTCAGAGATGAGTCCTAAAACTAGATTTAACCAGCAAGTATAACCAATTCCGACTGAACAATCAGGATAACATCAAAAAACTAGAAATGACTGCAACCAATTATCATTGAAGGAACTAATTTTCCTTCAAAACAGATCCTCCCTAAACAAAGTTGACTAAACTCACCTGAGGACCCAAAGTTCACATTTTCAAATTCTGGTAAAAAGCCAGCCTGAGCCAGTGGATTGGCCAGGTCCCGCTGGATCAGCATCAGATGTGATACTGTTTCAAGATCAAACTTAAGAACATTGCTATGGCCATAAATTCGTAATCCGAGCCTCTTAAACATCAAAGATAGAACCACACATGCATTATCCACATCCATCAGACTTATGACAAAACTACATTAGCCGATGAACACTAGCAATGCTTTCTAACTCCAATATCTAAGGGAAGCTCAGGCATGCAACTCCATATGCATAAACCACCTTTCAAAACAAGAAGCCAAGTTCTTGTATGATCAATTACCAGATGTTGGCATGATTTTGCAAATTTGGAAAGGGAAAAACTATTAGAATACTTACGAATATTAAGATAGACTGAAACAGAAAACATTGGACACATTAAACGGAACCCGTTCTCTTTTAAAATTTTGTTTGATTCAAACATATAATCCTTCGAAAGAATCATAAAGCTCTCAGGAACTCAGTATGACAAAACCATTGTGCTCTAAAAAGAGTCTAAAGTCCATCTTTTATCAGCACCACCACTTTTAAAAAATCAGGTGAAAAGGAAAAAGGAGACTGCTTGAGATTATCAATGTTTTACACACTGGACTGGTGGTCAAACCAGAGAGGCATCCATTCATGTACAATCAAGATCGGGAAACAGTACAACTTTGTTAGATTAGTTGGACAGAAGCTTCAGAAATGCAAAGGAAAATAGTATCACATAGCTTGTTCACTGGTCCAACCAGCCAAATCAGAACAATCCAACCTGGTTAAAGCCAGTTTGAAAGGATTTTAATGTACCATTTTTTTTGTTTAGCTGGACAAGGTCAAAAAAGTTGAACAGGGCACCGACACCAGTTTTCACTACACATTTGAACAATATTATTTCTCACACTTTGGAAATGAGATTATCTCTCACGCTTTGGAAATGAGAGAGACTGGTGCCGAGGCTGCCATAGAAACACACTTGGAACCATTGACCAGAGGCATCATTTTTGCTACATGATGAGAGAGAGATTATCTTTTGCAAGTTGTCATTTTAAACAAGAGTAAGTATCAAACCAGCTCAATTTTCAAAACCCCTATAACTAATGAATTGTTTTTTGGAAAACATCAGAGTTATTATAAAGTAGTTTTACACAAGTGTTATATTTGAAGTTCCCATAAAACAAACCATTATTACAAAGAATCGTGCTAGATAATTACATCAAGAATAACAAGTTAGACATAATATGCAGGAACAAAAAAATCATCGGCTTATACCCTTTTTCCTATTAATTATAGATGCAAATGTCCAGTCAACCACTATATAAATCTAATGAACGTGCTAACTGGGAATTACCTTCTTGCGCATGTCCTGATCTTGCAATACTCCATAATTTGCCCATAATGACCAGGATTCCAACACAATTCCGTCATAGCCCAAGTCTCTACATATACGAACAATGACACATTCAGAAAGAAGGTAAAATCATGTGAATTGGTGTAGTAAGAAATGGTATGACACCAGATGAATCAAATGGGGGAAAATGTACTTGCACTCTGAAACTATAAGATCAATTGCCTTGAGCCACTGCTTCTTCTTTGTTAGGAGCTTAACAGGTGATGCTTCCAACGCAACACTAGGTAACACCTAAAAGACAAAATCCTCCAATAGTAAGTACAATCACGAACATGAGCTAAACATTTGGTGAATCTTTGCAAATTCCAGATTCACAAATAGAAACCAATAAAGTTCAAGATTCCTGAACATCCATACGTTTGCTTTCATAAAGCCACTTTAGATTACAATGAATAGAAATTTAATTGGAATCTGCTGAAATCAACTGAAATAAAAAGAGTACTGATATTTCTTCCCAAATAGACGCCTTGTTTTTGAAACTTCAATCCAATTTATTCATTCCGAGTACATGATTTCCATTGGAATTTAAAAATATTTTGGAAAAATGAATTTCGGCATCTCCATCCCCAGAGTAACCATTCAGGAATTCAAAATTTCAAGCCTTTCTCAGATACTTATATCGAATGATCTGCATTTAGCATATAAGGATATTATAAGAAGATAATGCTCTTTGAAATTCACAATTTGAAGAAGAAACAGTGTAGGTAGATGCATGTAAAAATTCATTGAAGGAATGGAAAGAAAGTATTGAATTGAACGCAGGAAGTTGAGCACTGGAAATGTGCATGAAGTGTCAAGTGATAAATTCTTCAAAAAACAAATGAAAACAGACTACAGGTCTCACCTTAGGTATATCAA